CTGTGCTGACTGAATCCCCAAGAGCCAGTGCAGTGTGCGTGAGGTATGAGTATAATTTAGATGCACCTTAATGGAATCGCATGCAACAAATGAGCAGATACGCCAGCAAATGAATCGATGGAAAGCAATAGCTACTAGTTCTCACAGAGTGCAGCTTGATTTGGACATGTTTAATGGTACGGTGGCAAACTCGGATTTAGAAAGGGCTTTGGTACCGAATTCAACTTCCTCGCTGATCCAAGAGGCGAAAGCAGACATTGAACGTATGAAACAAAGTATTACGGGAAGTCCGTTTTTTCTGTGCCCTTTGTTATAAAAAAGCGTTTTTATATTGCTTGAGCTTTTGCAGTTGATGAAAATTGGCGATTGGAAATGTTGAACACCACAGACGTAATTATTATTTTTCAGACCTCCGTGGCGAAAGTACGCTTGACTTTGATTTAAAGTGCCACATTTTTTTCCAGGCTTGCCAGACGAGGAAACCGCAAATGAGGGGATGGATGTGATGAGTAGTAATGCACTGAAGACGAAAATAATGGAGGAAAATTTTGGTGTGGACGCAGATTATGCTGATGAGTTCAGAGATGATGAAGATGGGGATGAACAAATTGAGAACGAAGCAGAAACAGGTGATCCATTTCGATCTGGTAGATCCCAAGTTGCTTGAGCAGCGTGTGTGACACAAATGCCAGCGGGTTCTGATCTGCAAAAGTACCTTTTATATATTCCGTTAAATTATATACGGGTACTGGAAATTTTTTTGTCGTTTAATAACATTTTTAGTATTTGAGGTTGTGCGTTTTGTATTTTAATCCTATCCAAAGACTGTGCATTTTTTTTTTTTGCCCTGCACGAGTCTTTCAGCCATTGCATTTCCTTGCCAGGGAAAGAACCAAGAAAGGCAATAAGATGGGTGCAAAATACTTTCTCTTCATCCTAAGTTTTATTTCTGGGATACTTTTTTCTTGTGGCAACTGCTTTACAGTCCTTGAACCAAAGTTAATCAACTGCAAGCCTGCTGTGGTAAATAACAAACTTATTTTGGGCAGCCTGCAAGGATGATTCGTGACAGTTCGGATAACTTCCAAATTCACTTTTACAAGTCACAGCTGGTTCCCGGTGCCATTAGTAATGCGTTCTTGGGATCTTCCTTGGCATAGTCAAGCGAAGCAGTTTTCAGCAACCGATTTACGAGATACGTGCTTCTAATTTCCA